ATCCTCCTCCTCCTCCTCCTCCTCCCCCCCCCTCCTCCTCCTCCTCCTCCTCCTCCTGCTCCTCCTTCTTCTTCTTCTTCTTCTTCTCCTCCTCCTTCTCCTTCTTCTTCTTCTTCTTCTTCTTCTTCTTCTTCTTCGGTCTCCTTCTCCCCTGGGTACCTTTTCCCTCTTTGTTAAATTTTCAAGTAAAAGTGTGTGTGATTGGGGAAGGGGGGTGTTTAGTTTCCGGTTCTTATTAAATTCTCGAAGGGAAGCACTCATTGCTTTTCCTCCATACCTTCGTCTTAATCTTAATGTAATCAAGGTAATAAGTAACATCGAACAACTAGTCTTCTCAGATAAGGAATAAACATCTCGGAGGGCCCGTGAGCACGTTAAAGAACCCTTAGTGGCTGAAAACCTTTATAAAAACAAATAGCCTCGTTAGGTAGGGTTCGGCCGCTACCCGGACAAAATTCAAAATTAAGAGAATTCCCTTCAACAAGAAAGTATCTCAGTACACCCGTAAAATAGGAAAACCCTTCCTTGATTTTAAATGTATTGACCATGTCTCTCCTATGAAGATGTCAAAAAAGCTGAAGGGAGGGGCAGTAGTTCTTAGACAATCTTCTTCCTCTGTCTACAGCATTAGGCAAAGCTGTATATCGAACGGTATCGAACACACTGCTATAAAACCGTCCTTCAAGACCCAAAGGGCCACACAATACCCACATCTTGGAGCAATGCTCTCCAGTGACCATAATGTCTAACATCTGCATTTTGTAAAACGTGTTTAGTAGTTGTAGTCAAAAGTTTATTGTACATGCAACACATAGGTCTATAGGCGCCGAAGTTTAGTTTTTTAGTTTTAATAGAGGTTTTACGGCGCTCGCAACTGTATAAGGTCATAAGAGCACCAAGGGGTGGATGTCAACAGAGCAGTCCTTACATGACAGGGAATCAGACTTACTCTGCTCACCTCTCTAGCTTCAACAGCACAAAGTCTGCTTCGACTTTCAAGGCGCCCCAGAAATAGCGGGTCACAAGAGTGTGACAAATATACAAAAGAAGTTGAGGAAAAATGACGATAGTAAGGATTTGGGGAAAAATAGCAGCAGTTCCCTCTTGCAGTTCAGGCACAGATATGAGCATGACATTGATGAATCAGCCCATTTACGATTACAATTCTGCTGTGCATAAGAACTCGAGATGTTAATGCCCCCCACCCCCACCCCCACCCCCTTTGGAAATGGCCTAAGACACTTCAGTCAGTAGCACCACCCCGGGGGTTGCGCCCAAGTTTACAGGTGCTACGAGAGATAGTAATACAGGAAGAAATAAAGGAGACGCTTCGTACAGAAGATAAGGATGATGTTTGATAGGAGAGAAGGAAAACATCATACCTGAGTGCCCACCAACCACACACATGTCCTATCTAAGACTAGGAACACGTCAGTAAGACAAAGTGTAACATTATTGGCTTACCTTCCCTTCCTTGACACGATTAACTCGTTCATCAATGGCCTCGGCCACAAACTGAGGATATAACGTGTTCTTATAACAATAACAACAACAATAATAAAAATAATAACAACAACAATAATAAAAATAATAACAGCGCGCTCTATGCCCTTTATAACTATTACCTCAATATAAAGAACAAAGAATGATGCTAACATAAGGTTGGTTGGTTTGTGTGTTTGAGTAAAGAGGACCACATTGAATCAGTGCTGGTCAGTGTCATTGCAAGGAACACAGAGAGAGAGAGAGAGAGAGAGAGAGAGAGAGAGAGAGAGAGAGAGAGAGAGAGAGGGAGAGGGAGAAGGAAAGGGAGAAGGAGAGGGAGGGAGAGAGAGAGAGAGAGAGAGGGAGAGGGAGGGAGGGAGAGAGAGAGAGAGAGAGAGAGAGAGAGAGAGGGAGGGAGAGACAGACAGACAGACATACAAACAGGCAGGTAGGCAGGTAGGCAGGCAGGCAGGCAGGCAGACAGGTACATACTCCATATCTGCAATGCATTTCATTCATATGGGCTAGCACCTGAGTGAACTTGCCATTATTTAACAGAACTTAACGTGACTAAAAGTTACTAGATCTAGATATGAAGGACATAATGCATCTATAGAGTCAAACTTAAACAATCAATTTACAGGACCACAATTCATCTAAGCCTAATTGAGGCATCATGACTATTTTATTTTACTGTTTTTAAAAAAAGGGGGGGGGGGGAGATGCGCTAGCCATCGATTCGACGTATAGTTTACCCAATTTTGTGACCTAAACTTGCAAAATGCATAGTGCATATAGATCTGGAATCTAGATCTAGATCTAGAGCTAGTACGTTCGGAATAAATTGGGCCCAATTGGGTTTTTTAAAACCTTAGAATATATTTGCCTAGATCTAGATCTAGATCTATATCTTATGACTACTCACCGGCTGATATTCATCTTCATGTCTCAACAGGTAGTTGAGGCATGCATCCTTGACCTTGTTGTGATGGCATTGAGTGAAGAACAGCTGTGGGGAAAAAACCAAAAGAAATGACAACTTTTTACTGTAGCCTACAACAACTTTCCTCCCTACCTTACGTTCACGCCT